ATCAAGAGTTGCAATTTCTCAATCCCACATCACATGAAACCAGGATCAATTCTGCATCCTTTGTGACTTTATGCCAACTGCCATAAATATCAAGAAGTTACAAGAACTGTTTATAGGCACCTTAAACCTTAACTCACTTCTTACATTTCATGCAACCATTTCTGCTATACCCACAGCAGATGGCAGCCTCTAGCCAACCTTGCTGATCTTGAGAAAATTAAGCAGGGTTGGACCTGATTAGTACTTGAATGAGAAATTATCAGCAGATCTCAGGGTTGCTGGTTAAACTGGGAAGTTAAAAAGAAAAAAACCTGGAAGATAACAATAGCAAACCACTGCTATATTGTTGCCAAGAAAACAATGTTTGTTTCCATATCATCACAAGGCGTCTGGGGACTCTTATTTACATATATAATAATTATAATCAGACAAAGCACAGAATGCTCCAGTTTTAAAGATGGACTGCATACATATACAAAAACTTTGCATCTCAAGAAAGCGCTACCGTTTCTGAAGATGCCACTGAATTCTGTTAAAAATGGAACACATGTAATTGTAATTGTTCTATTTCAGCTGATAAGCAAAACAAAATACAGTACTTTCTGCTAATGCTGTAGACCTAAACTATATGTTGTGGACATAATGCAATTTTTAAAAAATTACAAAAGACTCCTCTTTTTAAAAATTGTTGTTTTAATGTATCCCAGCCCCCAAAAGTAAGAAACTAGAAAAAACACAACAAAGAAGACAAGAACATACTATATTATGTGTGGCAAAACTCAGCCCACTTTTTAAATACATAATTAAACCTTTTAAATACATAACTAAATATTTCTTGGAAATTTAAAAGCATAGCAAGGTTAACAGAATATCATATGTAATCTCTGGAAGACTTCTATAAAAATTGACAAATTTCTTTCTTGGATACACATGTCCCAGTATTATCCAATTGACAACAAAAGTGACAAAATGGTTGATTTTAATAACAGTAAATGTATACTTTACCCTGAGTTTCCTAGATAGCAGAAATAACATTACTATAGCATAATTGTTTCAACTGAAAGGCCAGCATGTCTTTCCCCTCAGTTCCAGTATCTTTGCTTTATATTATTCAATGAATACTCCATATCAGATGCGCAGAGAAAATTGAATTCCCACTTGTCTTGGACACATACTCAAAAATTCCTTTTTACTTTTCTTTTTTGGTGAAGCATAAGCAATAGTACAACTACACATACATGCTTTAATAATGTTTTAGCCAGTTGTTAAATTTGTAGACTTAAGATTTTTTTCTTCAGACAATTTATTGCTGCATCTGTTTTACAAAAAGGGAATTAAATACATTAATAGTGATGTGTTTAAAATACAGTCTCATAAGAGATTACTCTTCCAATACTCCTTTATATGTACAGTATTTAATAAATGCCTCATATAAAATAAATCTTTATTTATGAAAGTGGTCCGAGCTGCAAGGCTCAGAACATTATTGCCATTCTATCCTAAATGGTTATCTAGTTGTATTATACTGTCTTTAATAGGAGAGTATCAATGTAAAAGAAGATAGGCATACAAGATACTTTATTTATTTATTTATTTATCTATCTATCTATTTATTTATTTATTTATTGGGTTTCTCCCCCGCCCATCTCCCCCACAATAGGGGACTCTGGGCGACTCTGGGTGAAGTTATGCTCAAATAACTTCAATTCTTCGTAATCCCTTACTTGTTCCACGTGGGATCAAGGTGGTTTCAGAATCACAACAGAGTCTACAGACCTTGTATGCCTGAAGTATTGAGAAGCTCCTCAAAATAACAGGAAATCTGTCTATCCAGTCTGGAATGACCTGAACTACTTTAATTGGCTGACGGCGTAGCCACTCTGAGAGCAGCCAAATCAGCTGGCCTTTGGACGATGAAGTAACAATATGACAAGGCGGGGATAGGTTTGTAAAGGCGTTGGTAGATGTTTTCAGTTTTTCCAATGGGTTGACCATGAAAGGTACTGGAAATAACCCCTCCCCTGACTTGAATGGTTAAATTAGATCAGACTATGCTCCTCCATTCCTCACTCTAAAAAAAAAAAAAAAAATTAAAACCCCTTTCTTCCTGTTTAGCTTCTCAGAAAGCCTGGTGATGTTTTCAGAAGTATAGGTCAGAAACCAGTTCATTTAGGCAAGGCAACATGGGATAGGCACGTATCATACCATAATTTCCACATACCTCTCTGGTTCCCACAGTTACATTTAATATCGACTCTCTGCACAGATGAGATATGGATGAGGTTGCAATGTCATGCCAAGTTTTGGCTTAAGGTTTGGAACCAAAGCACTAGGAAAATGCAGATGAAATCTTTGAAGTAATGCAGTAAAAAATAAAAACATTTCCATTCTGGCCAGCTGTTCTCCTAAGCAGTGTCTTCGCCCTGAAAGGGAGGGGATGGAAAGACAGAGGAAGCAATCATGTTTAATTCTTTTACCAAGGACTTCATGTGAAATAAAGCAAAACATAAAATAGAGGCTCATTTTAAAAATCAATCACATTGGTAATAAATTGATCTACATCAAATACAGTATGTATTTTCAGTTTGAATCTATGTATGTTTATGGACTACTCTACAATGAAAATAAGAAATCAACAAAATCATGTTTTTGAGTAATTTGTTATTACTGATTTTTTAAAATTATCTATGTATAATTTAAAATTATAAAAATTATAATGTATAAAATTATACATGAAAATGTATAAAATTATACATTCATACATACAATTTATACATACATTATAATTTAAAATTATACATTCTTAATTCTTTAAAAGAATAGAATTCTTTTAATATATATCCTTGACAGGTACTAATTTTGGAAATGCTTTCCAAAGATGAAATAAAAATTAAAAGAAAACAAATCAAAAGAAAAGAAAACTCATCATCGAGGTAGAAGATGCTAAATAGGGCTTTTTCTCGAGAGATTTTTCCTGCAAGGAACACATTATGCTTACACAGTAGTTATATAGGATTCAACAGCTATTCTTTAAATTAGTGCATTTACTGCAGGAAGATCCAAATGTTTCTCTCTCAAGTAACTGTAAAGCCAAGCTGCCTTTCAATTAAGACATTTAATATATATATAATTACAAATTCAAACAACATTCAGTGAACACAAATTGAATTAGCACTGAACTTATTACCATGGTGTTACCATAATCCATATCTACTATCTCAATTCTTACTTTAAAGATACCTGACTTTCCTCCTCTTTTAATTCCTCAATCATCCTCTTTTTAAGTATGAAGGTAAATTGCTCAATATAAGGAAGAAGAAAATGAGATTTTATAGAATTATTGATAGAAACCTGTTATTAAAAAGGATGGTTACAAATTTCAGGTAAGCAAAATTCCAACCATCTCTTTGTCAATATGTAAAACTCATTAAAACCAGTAATGCCATTTGAAAAATAGCACATATCCATTCTATTTAAAAGCAAGGCAATCTTGTCATTATATAAAACTCCTGTAGAATCTCTTGAAAGTTTTAAGAACCAGTGAGAGAAGGATTTGAGATTTGAACTCGGTGAATCTTACTGGAACTCTTATAGTATAGAATTCCTTTTATACAGTATCTATTGCAGCAAGTCACTGAGAATTCACCATGAAGATAATCCATTGGTGGCATTGCACTTTAAAGTTTTTATACAGTAATTTCAGCAGCTTTTGTAGATTGTGTTTGTGACAATTTGTAGGCAAATCAGTACATATTGCATCTTTGGAGGAAATGCACAATTTATTCAATGTTTGTTTAAAGTGTTTTCCCCCATAATAAATCCAGCTATTGTTTTACCAACTGCATAAACATGTAACATTAATAACTTGATTCAATTCCCATTGTTAACTAACATGTTTCTTATCACAAAATTCTGGAAAGTTAAAATATATCTCATTCAAAAAAGTGTCTTTTTTTAAACACATAGGAAATTGCTGTGGCTGAAAAACTGATAAAACAACTAGCTTTGAAAACCTGTAACTGATCACCATTTGTTAGCTATATTAACATACTTTTCCCTAGGAGATCACTTTTATCTGTACAAATGTCATTCTGGATAACAATACTGAATATCAATGTTTAAAATGTTTGTATTTCTCCTTAAGGTCACACACATACAAACACACACATAAACATACACAAAAGAAAAAACTCAGACACTTCCAAAGTTTTAAATTCTTTTTTCCTTTGCTTTTAATTATGTCCCAGGTTTATTTTTCTTTTTAACTTTTTAACTTTTTCTTTTTTTGTCTTCTAGTTTTGCTTTTTCAATAGAAAGCACAAGAACCCAGAGCCAGCAAGGCTGTATCTGCCACAAGACCATACAGGATTTCATTTAAATGAAAGAGCTAGACAAACGGAAGTAATGAAAAAAACATCTGAGGGGAAAGTAAGATGTTTTGAAGTGGTAGAAAAAGCCATTACCCTAGTCTACCTTTTTAATCTATCTGTGTCCAGTTCAGTTCTGGACAAGATGACTGAACACACATTTTTTCCTTTTTCACATAAAAAGCCTTTTAGAAGGCAAAAATGAAACCTATTGATTGCTAAGTGGAGACCTATGAATAGAAAAGAAAAGTTTCAGAGGTGTGTACTGAAATCTTCTGCAGACTCAGTCTTAAGCTGAGTTGGAAAAAAAGAGATATAGGAAACCATTAGGCAGTCAACTATGAGAAACTCCATTATTTCTACCTTTGCATTGTGTACAAACATAAACAATGATGATAGCATGAAATGTTTACCAGTCAAGATCTCTTTGTTCTCTTGTATTGTAAAGGTAAAAATAAAATCCCACTCAAATCAAGCTTGACTCTTGGTGACTTCAAGTAGATGTTCATATAGCTTTTATGGCAATAATAAGAAAGTGATTATTTTCAATTTCCTAGTCTAACTTTCATCCCTGGAATATCCAGATGGTCTTCCATCCAAGTGCTAAACAGATCTGACTCTGTTTCACTTTTTCAAGTTCAGTTAGGCCAGTGTTGTCCAAACTTGGCCACTTTAAGATGAGTGGACTTCAACTCCCAGAATTCCCCAGCCAGCCATGCTG